TAATTAGACGGTGATCAAGATTTGAATATGTGACTGGAAACATCTTTGATTGTAGGAAGTCTTAATCCTCCAAATAAATTGCATTGAATTGTATAACACCTTAATATATTCCCAAACTAATATCTAAAAATTAAGCAATAATTTTAAATTTAAAAATTAATTAATTTTATTATGATATTAATTTTTAGATATTTGTTAAGATTATTGTTTTTATTTTTATTATTACTTAATTTTTAGATATTAGAGAGCCTTAAAATTAAGCAATAGCCTTAAATCTAAAAATTAATTAATTTTATATTTAATAATTTATAAAATTGATATATTTAAAATAAATATATAAAAATATTAACCTTTGTTAAGTTAGTTATACTATTTAAAAAAACTATTTGATTTTTTTAAAATTTATTCTAAATAGAAGGAAAAAAATTGATAGTAAAAGATATAAAGATTGATATATTTAAATAAATAAACATCTTTTTATTAAACAACATTTTATTCTAGACACAATAAAAATCTAATTGACAAAGATCAATTATGTCTCAAATCCATTCTACTCAATCCAAATATAAAAATAATTCAACTACAATAAAAAGATACATAATCTCTAATATCCAAATTCATTATACTGTTCTTAAATTTTAAATTGATTTGGGTTGTTGGAATGCTAATCCTGCATGAAATTATTTAATTCTTTGAAATAAATATAAAAAATATATCAATATTATTTTAAAATTTTAATTGAAATGCAGCTTTTACATTGTTAATTAATCCTATTCGTTAATTGTGATGTACTGTGAAAAAATTTACATCAATTATATATAGTAATTAATTTTCTTTTTAAAATCATTTAATTAACCATATTATTGTGTTTAAGAAAAAAAGTAATAATGCTCGTTAAATAAAAAAGGTAGAAAGAAGAAAAAAAAGTATGACATAAGTCGAGACATTTTGCTTCCTAATTGAAAGATAAGATTTCACAGCCTGCAGGATGATGATAATACTTTTCCATCCTCGTACTCTATTATATATTGCTTTTCCTTCACTCTCATTCTAACCTGCAATACGCGCTTTGATATGAAGATATCGAAAAAACCCTAACTTGACTGATTCAGAAGATGCTTCAATTTCCACTCTTGATGGATGCAAGTTCTGGAATTCTCTAATATCCTCGAGAAAATACCTCAACCTCTCAACAACCACCACAAGTTCTTATTTGTCATCTCCCATTCAGAGAAAAAACCATAACTTCATCGATACAGAATGTTTCCACTCCGATTCAATTCCGATGTGTCTCCAAGTTTCGTAAAAAGGGAATAATCAGATTTGGATTAGTTATAGACAAGTTAAATAAGTGTGTGTGTGAGAGAGTTTGTGATTCCATTAACGACCGACTTGTTTAAGGCCATAAATAGACTTGTTTGATTGACATATAAGTTTGTTACTTGAGACTTTTAGACCAAGTGTGACTTTCATATATACTTCTTGATCTTACCTGATCAGACTTGGACCGTCACGACTGGCTCCGAGCGGAAGTTGAACAAGATGGGGGGTACCTGCAAGGCACTCCGATGCTAAAGTGAGTGAGAGTACGAGCAGACAAAAAGTGTATGTATGGGTAAGAGAATGAATACCTGATCCTCTAGGAATAAAGGGTATTTATAGCCCCCAGCGCGGGGCCAAGGTCCCTTCATTGGACCGACAAGGACTGGCCCAATAAAGGAACTGCCAGGTTCTACGTGTGTAGTGAGGACCCACACGTGGTCCCCTTCCTGGTGATGCTCTACGAGAAATACGGAGGGACGAGGACGCGGTCTTTCCGGAGTTCAGGTGATGGAGTAACGGTCATAGTCTGCCCTACGACTATTTCTCCATTTTGATATCTTTGGTAAGCTTGGTTGAGGATAGTTGAACATTTTCAAAATCATCGGCTGCATCACTTAGAGACCTCTTAGATGGAGTAAGGTCTGTAATTGGAACTGTAGGGTTATAATCTGCAGATGCAGATAAGTTCTCCTGCCACGAGGATTGATGAAACAATTATCAGAAATAGATTATAGTTTTAACATATAGAGGACAAAGTGTAAAAATCTGAAAAAATATAAACTCACATAAATAGTTATCAATTCATCATGGGACGATAGACCCGGGGTTTGAAGCTTTGAAGTATGCTGCAATGTCCAAACAATATTAGTCAACTTTAGACAAAAGGGTTATAAAATGAAGTTAGACAACATGGTTATAAAATAAAGGAGTTATCAAAAATAACCTCTTCGGATCTGAAACCATCCTTTATCTTTTGACGTGCATACTCATCATCTTTGAAGCTTACAACCGATAGCATGGCCTTATTAGGCTGGAAAACAACTCTTATAGCTAATTCCTTTTGGAGAATTGCATCAAGTTCATACGGAAATTCAAGCGGATCATAATCTCCGGACTAAATTAAAAAAAAGATGTGTATGAAACATGGTATAAAATGAATAAGCCTGAAAAAGATAATAAGTATACCTCAATCAAATCCATTTTGATTTGAAGTGCAGACTTTCCAATTAACTTAACGTAGTCAACGTCCCAAAAGATGAACTTGTACTTGAATTTTCCATCCGAAGTCAAAACTTCGAGCTTAAACCTACAATCTTTGTGACAAAAATTAATTATGTCAAATATACAATGACCAAAATAGGATAGTAACATAAAAATTATATACAACATACCTTGGTACTGCCTCTGCAGATACATGTTTGGAATAACACGTAAGCTTCCCATCCTTCAAAGTCACGTTCTTTATGCAGTCAACGCATCCATCGTAATACCACCCTGACTGCCCACACTCAAATTTCTCTAACTTTTCCACAGTTACATAGGTAGTCTCCTAAAAGCATTCATATTGTTATTAATCCAACACATTCGAAGGACATTAACAAAGAACATATACATGATGGAAACATGAACGAATAAGTGGGATGAATTACATGTTGTAGTAAATTGATTTTAGAAAGATGCAATATTTCGGCTTTCCAAACAAAATTATCAAACTCGGAAAACTGTGAGTTATGTGTTGCGTCAATTTGGAGACTTGACGGCAGCAGTGGCAAATCATTCTTAAGACTGATATATGCAAAAAGTATACAAAGAAGCATGGTTAATTTCTCAAATTGTAGAAAGCAACATCTGTAAGTCTTTTAACAGTAAAAATACGAAATGTATGTATACATAATGCAAATATACCCTTCTTTAAGTTTGTTAATCTCTTCAATGGTGACATCATTAATCAACGGTTTTGTTCCATTTCATGAATTGGAAACATTCAACGGATAACCTCTTGCAATGTACCAAAAATAAGGCATAGTAAGATATAAACAAACTTAACATTTCAAAATTCCTTTGTATAAATCAAGAAGTGAAAAATGAAAATGTAGATTTGACTCAAATTTATATGTATTACCTTGAGGTTCCTTAATCCTTGCATTAATAAGTAGAATAACAATATTTCCATCATCCTTATGATTCGTATAATATTGATAAAATTGTACAACAAGTTTTCCCCACAAAGTACACTGTATAGGATTTTTGCTGTACCAACAAACATTGTTAGTAAACGTTTTAATTAAAGGTACATTGTACTGTGAAGATCAAATTACATTCAACATACCTCAAGTCAGTCAATGTAAAGACAACTTTGCTCTTGTTGTTATCAACAATTATATGTGATTGAGTTATCTCAATAACTCCTCCAATAATATACTCCCTCCGGTCTCATTTATAAGAAAAAATTAATTTTTTAGATACATTAAATAAGTAATGTATTTGGACAATATATTGTCCAAATACATTACTTATTCAATGTATATAAAAAGTTAATTTTTTCTTATAAATGAGACCGGAGGGAGTATATAAAGAAATTTGAGGATTAAATTTAAATTATGTAATTACTATTAACAAATCCACATATAAAACAAATTAAGAAATGTGTTTAACTCACCAACCAAAAGATTTGACTCAAATTTTCCATCAACTATTGCATCCAATCCAAGTATGTTAAAATAGTTCAATAGAATGTCAGAAAGTTCGGTTTTTTTCACTGAAGTAGATCCACAGAAAAGAAATTTGAAACAATGCTTAGTAGACCTAAAGCAATTTAAAAGCAATGTTTAATTAAATATATTAAAATAACATTAATAGTTTATTCTAAAGATCTAAAAATTAATTGATTTTATATTTAAATTTTATAATTTTAAAACTACTGCTTTTAAATCATAACTATTTGATCTTAATTAAACGGTGATCAAGACTTGAATATGTAACTGCAAATATCTTTAACGGTAGAAAGTCTGAATCCTCTAAATAAATTACATTGGATTGTATAACACCTTAATATATTCCTAAATTAATATCTAAAAATTAAGCAGTAATCTTAAATCTAAAAATTAATTGATTTTATTATGATATTAATTTTTTAGATATTTGTTAAGATTATTGTTTAGTTTTTAGATATTAGAGAGCCTTAAAATTAAGCAATACCTTTAAATCTAAAATTTAATTAATTTTATATTTAATAATTTATAAAATTGATATATTTAAAATAAATATATAAAAATATTAACCTTTTTCAGTTAGTTATAATATTAAAAAGAACTATTTAATTTTAAAAAAAATTATTCTAAAAAGAAAAAAATTAAATAATTTGATATTAAAAAAAATAAAAATTGATATATTTAAATAAATAAATATTTTTTTATTAAACAACATTTTCGCAATGTGCAGGATGATGATATTACTTTTCCATCCTCGTACTCTATTATATATTGCTTTCCCTTCCCTCTCATTCTAACCTACAGAGACGCGCTTTGATATGAAGATATCGAAAAACCCTAACTTGACTGATTCAGAAGATGCTTCAATTCCCACTCCCACTCTTGATGGATGCAAGTTCTGGAAATCGAGAAAAAAGCCTAACTTGAACCAAATTGTTCACTATTTCATACAAGCAACGTCCTTGTATGCAATATTCCTTGAACAAGGTGGTATATGTTTTTGAGGATGGCCAAGTGTTGCTTCAATGTAAAATGCCATATGTTCCTACGAAGTTGATTCTATATGATCCAAGGATTGCTACTTTTGAGTTTGTTTCCTTTGAAAATAGTTTGGTTGATAACCTAGATGTCTCAAAGTATGGTGGCCCAGAAGTTTGCATTGAGAGTTTGATATCACCCTGTTCTTAATTCTAGGATGCATAAGAGGAGGGCCTATAGGTTAATTTGCTTTATGTTATTTATTTTCTACTTGTTTTAATTACTGGTTACTTCATGTATCATTCTTTATTAATGGTTAATTCAATATGCAACTTTAGAAACTCTAGTTATTTTTTGTTTTCTAAATGATAACTCTAGTTATCATTTATGTTATGTGAAATCATTAGCATGTTTATGTGCATGAATGTCTTATTGTCTGCTTCAACTCTCTTACAATATATACATAATTTCAGTAACTATAAATTGTAATAACGCAGGCGTCGCCTCTGCTTTTTGTATATGATTTCATTTGCTTTACTGAGGCATTTTGTTTATTCTATTGGGCTATCCTTTAGTATCGCGAAAGAATCATTTTGCCAATCACTCACAAAGACCATTTTATCACTATATCGCAACAAGAAGAGGTATATGAAGCAAATGGGTTTGTGTTAAAACATAGAAAATCATGACTCAATGACAAGGCAGCTTCTTTGCTGATCAGTTTGAGAACCACCCAAACATTAGTGCACAGGACCTGGGATTTAAGAACAAACATATGCAAAGTTACAACTTTGGTATGGTGCCTGGTTTTATGATTCTGTTCATCCTTTTTTTTCTTCATTTTTTTAAAAAATGTCCTTTGAATTGTGAATGTTGCCTCTAAATAAATCAGTAACTTCTCTGCTTTGTCTTCTCTAATGTATTTTGATTCTGATTGTCTTTTCTTTTTTAATTAATGGTTATTACTTATCATGCATTGTTTATTGTTGGATTTTTCTTCTTAAAATCTTATCACTTTCTACATGTCTTCCCCAACGAATATCCATTATCCACTTGGCAGATTCAAAATATGATGGGCTGAATTTTATAATCTTTTAATTGATTTGTCTATGCCAATCTGCATGGAACTTTTTCCATGTCACTACTAACCTAATCTGCATAGATTGTATTAGGTTGGCTTATATGATGGAATTAGAATATTTATATATCTCATAAATCCTTATAAGTTGGTTGATTTGTTTGAATAATATAGTCGTCATATTTTATATGATCACCATAAAATCACTCTACTAATTTGTCTATGTAGGTTGAAGATGGTTCTTATGCAACCTTTCGTCACTGCCTGAAACTGTTATTTTGCACAATGTATATTCTTATGTAACTTCAGTGGCTTTATGCTTAAATAATCTTCCTGATGCATTTACAGGGAGAGGCACAAGAGTCCAGGTGCTATTGTTAATGTAGTTGTTTAGTTATTGGCTTGCATTTTTGGTAAAACCCAAGTGTATGTGTGAATGTCATGACTGATGTCATAACATTCTAGTTTAGTATGTACTGATTCATTAGGTACCTTTGCAGAAAAATATTGTCATACAGGTACTGATGTTTATAAGTGTGTATATGAGCATTTTGCAAAATGATCACATTTACCTAAATCAGTAGACAGGTTTTCAGATGTCATAACAGATGTTAAGACATCCTGTTCTGAACTAACAGGTATGCAGTTTGGTTAATTATGAGTTTTTTCAGGAAAATGACTCAGTCTTTCCAGAACAGAATCCTGCGTTTTCTTTGGGTTAACCTAGCTCAACCCCAACCTGGTTGATAAAGTCCTGTGACCTAGTCTTAAGGTCAAACGGAATTAACCCTAGCTTTTTGTGGAAACCCTAACTGAAGTTGCAGCTGCTATATATTCAACAGGGCTGCTGTTTTGAATGGAATTCCTTTTTGACAGAAGATCATTTAGAAGCTGTATAGTTTTTACTATTGTAATCCAAGCAATTATCATTGTGATAAGTGACTTGGAATAGGTTTTAATTGTAAGGATTGTGTAACACTCAAAGCTTTGAAGCAAGAGTGTTTGTATGTCTCTTGACTAAAGCTGTGAAGCAAAGTCAAGTTAGGTTTGTGTATCACTCAAAGCTGTGAAGCAAGAGTGTTTGTGTTGCTTGATTAAAAAGCTGTGAAGCATAATCAAGTGTATGTTTTGAAGAGTGTCTTCAACAATTCATTAGTCAAATTGTTTTTATGTATCACTGCTGTGATTGAGGGGGAGTGAGTAGGAACTCAGGTTTAAGTTGTACTTAGATTGAAGTTGCATTGGGTAGGTCTTAAGTGAAGCAGATAAACTGGTTGGTTTATTCCTGAATTAATATCTCTTATAGTGGATTTCCTCTCTGGCTTGGTAGCCCCCAGAGTAGGTGTTGTTGCACACTGAACTGGGTAAACAATTGACTGTTCTTTACTGTTTTTGTATTTACTGTCTTATAGAAAGTCAGATACGGTGTCATAACATTGAACGTGACATTGAGTATCTGCAGCCAGAATTTCAATTGGCATCAGAACAGGCACCCTGCCTGTATTACTGGGTGAGATCTAGGGATATCACTTTCTGGCACTATGGACAAAGAAAGAGTTTTTGGAAATAGACCACCCATTCTGGATGGAACTAATTATGACTACTGGAAACCTCGTATGATTGCCTTCTTAAAATCTCTGGACAAAAAGGCTTGGAGAGCTGGTGACAAAGGATGGATCCATCCCACCATAACTGAGAAAGATGGGACAATCAGTTTGAAGCCTGAGGAAGATTGGAGTAAAGAAGAAGATGAGTTAGCCCTGGGAAATTCCAAAGCCTTAAATGCCTTGTTCAATGGAATTGATAGAAACATTTTCAGACTAGTACATCAATATGAACTGGCCAAGGAAGTTTGGGACACTCTCAAAACTACCCATGAGGGCACTTCCAAAGTGAAAATGTCAAGGCTTCATATGTTGACTACCAAGTTTGAGAATCTAAAAATGATGGAAGATGAAACCATTCATGACTTTCACATGAACATCTTGGAGATTGCCAACACCTCAGGAGCACTGGGAGAAAAAATGGCAGAAGAAAAATTGGTGAGAAAGATTCTCAGATCCTTGCCTAAAAGATTTGTAATGAAGGTAACTGCCATAGAAGAAGCCCAGGACATCAGCAAGTTGAAAGTGGATGAACTTATTGGGTCTCTTCAGACCTTTGAGATGGGGATCACTGAAAATGGTGACAAGAAGAACAAGAGCATAGCACTTGTTTCCAACACTGATGTTGAAGAAAATATTTCAGAAGCTATAGCCATGCTTGGAAGACAGTTCAACAAACTCATCAAAAGAATAGATCCAAAGTCAAGGTCTAATGTTCATAACATTCCCTCTGACATTGACAGTTCCAACAGAAGACCAAGGTCAGAAGAGAAGGGAAATCAAGGCAGAGGAATTCAATGCCATGGTTGTGAAGGATATGGGCATATTCGAGCTGAATGTCCTACCTTTCTTAAGAAATAAAAGAAAGGAATGACTGTTACTTGGTCTGACTGTGATTCAGAAAGTAATTCTGAAGAAGAATCTGCCAAACTAGTTACTGCTCTAACTGGTGTTTGTACCTCTGAAAGTGACATTAGTGATGAAGAGGTGACTTTTGAAGAACTGGCTGATACTTACAAGAAATTGTGTATCAGAAGTACTGAAGTCTGTGTGCAGAATGAGAAATAATCAAAACTCATCATAAAGCTGGAGGCTGAAAAAAGGGCAAACCTTGAAACTATAAGTCATCTAGAAGGGGAAGTTCAATTGCTGAACTCACAACTAAATCAAATGACCAAATCTGTCAAGATGCTGACTAATGGAACAGACAAATTGGAAGAGATCCTTCAGGTTGGACAAAATGTGGGAAATAAATCTGGACTAGGATTTATGGAAGCAAAGAAATCTGGTACAGATAAGAAGATCAGGCCTGATAAGCAAATGTCAAAACAGATGTCTCAACACAACTCTCAACATCAGGAACAGAGACATATGAAGAAAAGGTACCAAAGATGGAGATGTCATCATTGTGGGAGATATGGCCACATAAAGCCCTTCTGCTTCAGATTGCATGGATACCCTAATCAGAACTCAGGTGTCAAACCTAAGTCTAAAAAGGTACCACATGCTCCTAAATGGAAGAAAAAGGCTACTTCCCTGATAGCCCACACTTCCCTGAGGGTCTCTGCAAAGGAAGACTGGTACTTTGACAGTGGATGTTCCAGACACATGACTGGAATCAAGAACCTCCTCAATAATGTTAAGCCTCACACCACCAGTTTTGTGACCTTTGGAGATGGTGCTAAAGGTGAAATCAAAGGAGTTGGTGATTTGGACTGCCCTGGAGTTCCAAGTCTGAATGAAGTACTGCTGGTAAAAGGGCTGACTGCTAATCTCATTAGTATCAGTCAATTGTGTGATCTAGGATTCAAGGTCAATTTCTCAAAATCTGAATGTCTTGTAATTAATGAAAAGCAAGAAACTGTAATGAAAGGAGTCAGATCTAAAGACAACTGTTACTTGTGAGAGCCTGAGAACACTAATTTCTCCTCTGTGTGTTCCATTGCAAAAGAAGAAAAAGAGGTGAAACTGTGGCACCAAAAACTTGGCCATCTTCATCTAAGAGGTATGAAAAGGATTATCTCCATGGAGGCAGTCAGAGGGATTCCAAGACTGCAAATTGATGAAGGAAGAGTTTGTGGTGAATGTCAGGTTGGTAAGCAGACTAGAATGTCACATCCAAAGTCAAGACATCTGACCACCTCTAAGGTTCTAGAACTTCTTCATATGGATTTGATGGGACCAATGCAAGTGGAGAGTCTTGGTGGAAAAAGATATGCCTATGTGGTTGTGGATGATTTTTCCAGATTCACCTGGATTAACTTCATTAGGGAAAAATCTGATGTATTTGAAGTTTTTAAAGAATTGTGCAAAAAAATTCAAAGAGAAAAGGAAGGGTGTATTGTCAGAATCAGAAGTGATCATGGCAAGGAATTTGAAAACAGCAAGTTTGATGATTTCTGTTCCTCAGAAGGAATTAGTCATGAATTTTCTTCTCCTATAACTCCTCAGCAAAATGGAGTTGTGGAAAGAAAAAACAGGACCATACAGGAATCTGCCAGAGCAATGATACATGCCAAAAGACTTCTTATGTATTTTTGGGCTGAAGCTATGAATACAGCCTGCTATGTCCATAACAGGGTCACCTTGAGAAAGGGAACCTCATCCACCATATATGAACTCTGGAAAGGAAGAAAACCAACTGTGAAGTACTTCCATGTGTTTGGCAGCAAATGCTATATTCTGGCAGATCGTGAACAAAGAAGAAAACTGGACCCTAAAAGTGATGAAGGCATATTTCTAGGATACTCCTCAAACAGCAGAGCTTATAGAGTATTCAATTCCAGGACCAAAACTATGATGGAATCAATAAATGTTATAATTGATGATTATCATGAAGAAATAGATGTCCCTTGTAATGTTGAGACATTCTTTGAGTCTCCAACCCAACAGAATGATCTACCCAACACCACCACAACAGAATCTGAATCAAAGGAAGCTAGCAAGATCCCTTCCATCAGAATTCAGAAGGATCATCCAAAAGAGCTCATCATAGGAGATCCCAACAGTGGAGTCATTACAAGATCTAGAGAAATCATCTCAAACTCTTGTTTTGTGTCCAAAATGGAACCAAGAAATGTCAAGGAAGCTTTAACTGATGAATACTGGATTGGTGCAATGCAAGATGAACTGAACCAATTCAAGCAACATGAAGTTTGGGAACTGGTTCCTAGACCTGAAGGAACTAACATCATTGGCACAAAATGGATTTTCAAGAACAAATCAGATGCTGAAGGAGTTGTCACCAGGAATAAGGCAAGACTTGTTGCTCAAGGGTACACTCAGGTTGAAGGGGTTGATTTTGATGAAACCTTTGCACCTGTAGCCAGGCTGGAATCAATCAGACTCCTATTGTCAATTGCTTGTCTTCTGAAGTTCAAGCTATTCCAGATGGATGTGAAAAGTGCCTTTCTAAATGGGTACTTGAATTTATGTGGAACAGCCTAAAGGCTTTGTGGATCCAAACCACCCTGATCATGTCTACAAATTGAGAAAAGCTCTATATGGCATGAAACAAGCTCCTAGAGCATGGTATGACAGGTTAACAAAGTTTCTCTCAGACAAAGGATACAGAAAAGGAGGCTTGGACAAAACACTCTTTGTCAAAACTGAAGGAGGGAAGTTGATGGTTGCCCAAATATATGTTGATGACATAGTGTTTGGAGGAATGTCAGAACCTATGGTTAAACATTTTGCTGAACAGATGCAGGCTGAATTCGAAATGAGTCTCATGGGAGAACTAACTTATTTTCTTGGACTGCAAGTCTCACAGATGGAGGACTCAATCTTCTTATCTCAAAGCAAGTATGTTAAGAACATTGTAAAGAAGTTTGGTATGGAGAATGCCAGTCACAAAAGGACTCCTGCTCCTACTCATTTAAAGCTTTCCAAAGATTCAAGTGGGGTTAAGGTGGATCAAAGTCTGTACAGAAGCATGATAGGAAGCTTGTTGCACTTAACTGCCAGCAGACCTGATATTGCCTTTGCAGTTGGAGTTTGTGCAAGATACCAAGCTGATCCCAAAGTCAGTCATATCAATCAAGTGAAGAGAATTTTGAAGTATGTGAGTGGAACTTACAACTATGGGTTGCTATATTCTCATGGCTGTGAATCAAATCTGACTGGTTACTGTGATGCTGATTGGGCTGGTAGTGTTGATGATAGAAAAAGCACCTCTGGAGGATGTTTCTTCTTGGGAAATAATCTGGTTTCCTGGTTCAGCAAGAAACAGAATTGTGTGTCTCTCTCTACTGCTGAAGCTGAATACATTGCAGCTGGTAGTAGCTGTTCTCAAATGATCTGGATGAAACAGATGCTTACTGAGTATAATGTCACTCAAGATGTTATGACATTGTACTGTGACAATCTGAGTACAATCAACATTTCCAAGAATCCCATTCAGCATAGTAGGACCAAACATATTGACATAAGACATCACTTTATCAGAGACCTTGTAGAAGAGAAGACAATCAAATTGGAACATGTTTCCACTGAGCTACAGCTGGCTGACATTTTTACCAAGGCTCTTGATGCAAATCAATTTGAAAACTTGAGGGGTAAGTTGGGTATTTGCCAACATGAGGAATTGTAGCAATTAATTTTGCTTAAAACAAGGGTTAAAGGAGTTATGCTTGTTCTGATTGGGTTAAAATTATATTTTCCCATTTCCTTCAATTCTTTTAAGAAGTTGAATAGACACTCCTTTTCTTCCTTCCCCTCTCGTCTCCTCATCAAAACCCAGTCTCTCAATCAGAATTTTCTCTTCAGTTGCTGTTGGTCCTCTAAGACTGTCAAAATGTCTCAAACACCATCATCATCCAATACGACTATTTCAACCTCTTCCTCTGATCAAGATTCTAGGACAATCTCTTCTTGTCTGGACTCTGAAGTCCTGGAGATCTCTTCTCTTAGAAAAGTGGGAACTAACCCCACCAAGGTCAAAGAGTTGAGAACAAGACATGCAGGAAGGTCCCAAGCTTCTGCCTCTGGTAATCCATCTCATCCTTCTTCTTCTTCAGTTCCCCCTAAAATTGCAAATAGGGAAGGGTCAACCTATGTTAGTCAAGCAATAGCTAAAATTGTTTCAAGAATTCTGAACGAGAACCACTCAGTTCCTGGCATTTCTGTTCCTTTGAATCAAGAAAGTTCAAATGCTGAAACAAATCCAGATGTCTCTAAGGATGTTGAGACATCAGACAAAGAGAAGAATGCTGACATTGCTCACAAGAAAAGGAAGAAGCCCGAATCCTCTGAGTCTGATGACAATGCTTAAAGGTTGGTGGAGTTGGTGCTGGTACCTGGTAGAGTTTGGAAGTGTGTTCAGTTTTTAGTTCTGCTCTCATTACTTTTTCTGGATGACTGTATAACTTTTAAGAACATGTATCTTTGGCCCATTTGTGGCTAAAGAGGGGGAGATATATTTTGGTACTTAATTAGACATTCTATTTTTCTGCAGTCATTTCTTTCTGCTGCTATCTATCTCTGATTGCTTAGGGTCTTTAGCCAAAAATCTGCCAAAGGGGGAGTTTGTAGTTGTTTAGTTATTGGCTTGCATTTTTGGTAAAACCCAAGTGTATGTGTGAATGTCATGACTGATTTCATAACATTCTAGTTTAGTATGTACTGATTCATTAGGTACCTTTGCAGAAAAATATTGTCATACAGGTACTGATGTTTATAAGTGTGTATCTGAGCATTTTGCAAAATGATCACATTTACCTAAATCAGTAGACAGGTTTTCAGATGTCATAACAGATGTTAAGACATCCTGTTCTGAACTAACAGGTATGCAGTTTGGTTAATTCTGAGTTTTTTCAGGAAAATGACTCAGTCTTTCCAGAACAGAATCCTGCGTTTTCTTTGGGTTAACCTAGCTCAACCCCAACCTGGTTGATAAAGTCCTGTGACCTAGTCTTAAGGTCAAACGGAATTAACCCTAGCTTTTTGTGGAAACCCTAACTGAAGTTGCAGCTGCTATATATTCAACAGGGCTGCTGTTTTGAATGGAATCCCTTTTTGACAGAAGATCATTTAGAAGCTGTATAGTTTTTACTATTGTAATCCAAGCAATTATCATTGTGATAAGTGACTTGGAATAGGTTTTAATTGTAAGGGTTGTGTAACACTCAAAGCTTTGAAGCAAGAGTGTTTGTATGTCTCTTGACTAAAGCTGTGAAGCAAAGTCAAGTTAGGTTTGTGTATCACTCAAAGCTGTGAAGCAAGAGTGTTTGTGTTGCTTGATTAAAAAGCTGTGAAGCATAATCAAGTGTATGTTTTGAAGAGTGTCTTCAATAATTCATTAGTCAAATTGTTTTTATGTATCACTGCTGTGATTGAGGGGGAGTGAGTAGGAACTCAGATTTAAGTTGTACTTAGATTGAAGTTGCATTGGGTAGGTCTTAAGTGAAGGAGATAAACTGGTTGGTTTATTCCTGAATTAATATCTCTTATAGTGGATTTCCTCCCTGGCTTGGTAGCCCCCAGAGTAGGTGTTGTTGCACACTGAACTGGGTAAACAATTGACTGTGTTCTTTACTGTTTTTGTATTTACTGTCTTATAGAAAGTCAGATACGGTGTCATAACATTGAACGTGACATTGAGTATCTGTAGCCAGAATTTCAGTTAATTAACGCATCATATTATGCTTGCGTGGCTTCCTTCCACTGCAAGTCAGCCAAAGCTTGTTTAACAATCTTGGGTTCAGAGTTAGTAAGCAACAATCTAGGCTCCAATCTTGGTTGAGAAAATCCAGCTTTGACTCTAGTTTGCACAGGATGAGGATTGACAAGCCTGTTTATGACAGGGACAACATTAGGGGGAATAGAGGCAGAACTAGATGGAGGGAATGAAGAACTACTAGGACTGACACTAGGAGTTCACAAACTGGATGATTGACCAGAATCTGACTTAGAGCCAGTATGAGAGGAATTGGGAACATTGGACTGAGAAGATTCAAATTCAGAGGAAGACCTTGAGCTAGTAGACATAGTTGTAGAGGTGGATGCACCTTGAGACTGAGTAACACAGTTAGGATAAGAGTGCATAGGAGAAGCCTGAGTTGGCTCAACTGAGGCAGACTCAGCTAGATCTTGGGGTGAGGGAGATGGGAGACATACACAATGAGTGAGATGCAGAGGTGGGATAGACACTGAAGGAGAACTAGTGGAGAGGTCAGGGATAGATTTAGGAAATAGGTCTTTGTAGGGAAACCTATCCTCATTGAAGAGGGCATCTTTGGATATATATACAACCTTCCACTAGGGGCTAGACACATCATCAAAGAATATCAAATACCTCTTATGTTGCAGGTATTTCCTCACTTCTGTAATTAGTGACTTGTCATCAATTTTGCGTAATGTCTGCAGAAATGGGTCTTTGGCATCCCTACAAAATTGCTTCATCATGTTTATCAATAACCCCCTCACTCACAGTGTATGACTGAGAAACTGTAATGCAAGCACGACAGTCAAACTGTTATGCTACTTTTTGGCTGTCAAACACTAGCTTGGGAAGAGTGATTTTTTCTAGACCCCCCATTCCTACCACTGAAATCACTTTGCGCTCAGCAGTGCCCTCCAGTAACAAACCAAACAATTCCTCTCCCGGGACTTCGAATCCTACAATTTCAGTTTCTTCAATGAAAAGGGCAGACAATCGAGGATCACACCATCTTTCCATTTTCTGTCACTCTCGTGCTGTTCCTGCTGCTTGATGATCCAGGTTCATGTGAAATTTTGAAGTTATATCTTTTACTTATTTTCATGATTCCATGAATTGACAACTTAATATTCTGAATCTCAGATGCTATCTAGTGACGGGGAATCACCGTTTTAATTAGACTTGCAATCTTGCAGACTAAAGATCCGCATCGAGGAGTATTAACCTAATGGATCAGCCAAAGATACTCATCAATGACATCTTCAATTCGAAATGATGCTTCTCTCAAATGCTTTACCCATGTTCTTATTACATCATTGATGTCTGCTTCATCCACAGCCCTTCTGTCTGCATCTTTGAGGAAGACTTGAATGCTTTCAAGTTCACTTTGATGTCTGAATAATCTGTGTCTACACCTCTCAAAAGATTTTTTCGTTTCATATTGCTAGCTGCTACCTTGCAATTATGCTGCTGGGATCATGTGTATATCATTCTAGCATTGTGTTTTCCCTCTCTTTTCGAATGATGCCAAGGAAAACTAAGCTTCAAAAGTCAAAGGAAAGGATTGCCACGATTTTTGCTGCTCAGCCTATGGCGATGTCACAAAACGTGACTAAGATTCAGTTTGAGATCACTAGTTCAGTTGGAAGATGCAATTACAATTTCACCCGAGCTCCTTCCAGAATATATTAAAATTTGTTATGCAAAGTTGTACTTTATCTCAATGCTCAACCTGAGTTGGTCCGAATGGAAGGGATCAAATCCTCTAAGTTAGTGATCGTGATTTTATGAGTTTGTTGGGTGTAGTGACTGCAAGTGCACAGTCTATTGCGTAATTTTAAAAGATATCGAATCCATAAAGACTGATGGTCAAACTACTGTTATCTTAGGGTCACTGTGTAAAGCTAAGGCTAAGTCATTGGCATTTGTTTTTAGTATTAAAACACTTTATTTAAAAACTCTCGTCTCACACTTTCGTTCTATTGATCCAGGTCATATTATTAAACTCAAATGAGCGCTCTCGTTGTTTTTAAAATTAATGTCTAATAACCATTATCTGGTTAAAATCTCAAACTCTTATTCTGTTGATTTTAACTTTAGACTGTCTTTTACTCTTGTACAAAAATAACTAAATATCTAAATTGGAAATTAAAACAAGAAAAGTGTTTCTGTAAAATATTAATGTCAATTATTACCGAATCTCTTCGGTTTAAGATTTACATACCGGTATCAGGAAATTTAGTCAGACATAATTTATAATTTTATTGCAGGACAACTTAAAATTAAAACATAAATTTAATAACACATGCATGATAAGAATAAATAAATTATACTTAAAATAGAAACCTGAAATTAAATACTGAAGCAAACAATTTGAGCAGTGCGTATCTTCCACAAGTCGGCAGGATTAACATGTAATGAAATATCTTGAATTAAATAAAATGGACCTAAACGAATTCTAGAAGTTAGGAAGAAAATTAGACTTGCAATATTCCTTTTATGTGAAGAAATACTACTTTAATGGTGCGGGTTTTCTATGTTTACGGGACTTCTACGAAACTGGAAAATAAAATACTCAAAACTATGGAACTGAAATAATAGTAAAGTTGCAAAAATGGAAAATAATCGCAAGTTACAGTACGTAGAAGAAACAATAAAAATTGGTGCAAAGTATGAAACGTAACAATATTGGTAACTGATTCCAATTTATAGATTCTAAAAGTGAGCAAAAATAGGAGGAATCCCCTTGATCCTCGTTCTTCCATCGTGGAGAAATTCCAGCCAACTCTCTGTTCCGTCTGCTTCGTGGAGATAATGTCGTAACAGTTATATGAGTTATCACGAGCGTCATGCGCGCTGTGACGTGGGGCACATATCTTGACATTGTGTCGGTCAGAACATGAAGTGTGCCGAGGGGCACTCTTTTGCAAGTTGTGACGGGCGACACGCGCCTGTGGTGGACGGGCACGCCTTCTGATACAGAATGTTGCTAAATGCTGCAAAATGATCATTTCTCCATTGTTTTTTCTTCCTTTTCTCATTTATGCCTTGCAAAAGCTAAGTACCTGAAATATGTTGCAAATACTATAAATAGAGATAAAATGTGACATAATAAACGAAGAATCCGAAGTTTTATCTATGTAAATCGGACGGAAAATGTTATAACTTTTCGTGTTATCAAACTCCCCTAAGCTTGAACCTTTGCTTGTCCTCAAGCAAAATAGTAGTATAAAAATAATAAAGCACAAGTTAAAAGCAAATACATGATGCAGTTCGAATCTTAAGAGGCTGTCAATGTTTTTGCAGAAACATAAGCTTAACATAACACAAAAGATACAGTAACAACACTAAACGCCCCCACTGTGCAGACTAATTCCAGTCATGCCATTATAGCTCAACCAAATTCTTTTCGCTGAATTTCACCCGTTTTCATTCTAGTGCAATCACATTAAGCCATTTATCTTTACACGCACATAGTAGAGTAGCCGATTAGTGACTATGATCCTTTTAAGCATGAGGTTCTAGAACATAAATGCGGTAACCTCCTTTAATTCACACAATTGCACATCGCGGGAGATCGGACCGTAGTCCACCCTACCAAGTTCAGTACCAGACACCTCTGAACCAACCAACAACGGGTTTCTATGTTATATAATGTAGGTTCTGCATCCGTTGAATTAAGTGACCGGGTGAGGGTCGCCTAACTTAATTGATGCATTCCCTATTTTCTTACAGTAAAGCATGTATCTTTTAAATACTCTGGACCATTCACTTATAGTCATCGACTCCCTATGTAGTTTGTGTTTAAGACGACGCTGACTGCTAAATAAACTACTCTGGGCTACTTTAAAACTAAAGTTTAAGGTTTCAGTATAAAGGATACTGAAATCGATCTAGCGCAATTTGGGGATTTAGAGCGTTACGACAATATCCATCGTACTTCTGTTTCACTCAAGGTTTCTCATATATCTTTAAAAAGTGTGCAACCGATATACTCTTCGAATGCGTCAGGTTATGCAAGTAACGAACAAATTTTTTGTTATGGGTCAAGAAAGTGGGGAAATTAGATAATAACGGAAAAATTGCATAAACGAACTCAGAAGTACAAAGATGTTTTTTATTACCAGGAATACAAATGGCAATGAAAGATTCACTTAGAAAGCAATAAAGAGTTTATAAACTAACTAATTCCCCTAAGCTTGAAACAAAAAATTCCCCAATGCTTAAAAAAACAAAAAGGAAACGGGAAGAAAAACAAAATCGATCTATTCTTGCTCGTTATCGCGTCCTCTTCCTCGCCCCCGTGCTCGACCACGTGTACCCGGGGGATGAGGAATAGACACATGGTATATATAATCTTGAAAACCATCCATGTGTATAGTTAAGGTTTCCATTTCCTCAGTCAATCTTGCAGCCCAACGCTCATTTATTTCGTCATACTCCTGCTGCTGATTTTGCATAGCCAGCATAAGTTGCATCATTGCATTTTAATTGTTCTGTATAGCTTGCACTCTTTCATCTTGTTGCATGAAGGCAACCATAATGTCATCATTTGAGGACGATGCTCTTTCGCGTCTTCTTCTGGGTCTTGTGGACGTACTTGCAATGTTTTCAGAAAGAGCTTGTTCCTCAGTATCCCCTTGTTCCATTTTGTCTCCATTTCATCAACTTGGACATTCCCTTGGTCGTTTCGTGCATTATCTCCAGGTGCAGGAGCATCAAGGTCATAAATCCACTTATCTATGTTTGTAATAGCAGTAAGTGAAATGTTTGGCAAAATGACATTAGGGACAACTTTGTTATGCACCATCAGATTATACCTACCATCTCCTCTGACCTTAATCAAGTGGCCAGCCCGACAATTATCGATGTCAATGAAAGTGGGAGGCAGTGGTGGCATATTTTCAAGCTTTTCCTCGAGGCGCAGACCAAGTGCTATAGAGGTGACTAGCCTGCCAATACAGAAAGGCGTAGACCCTCTTGCACATAAAGATTGGATATGTGATGGAAGTAACATGCTCGCATTGATCTTTTAGTTGGGAGCGTGGTGGAGGAAAAATTCTTTAGAATTAACTTTGTTGTTGTTAATCCTCCTAAAAATAGTGTTGGAGATGACATGGTGAAAATACTTGATAGCGGGATTATGAACGGATGAAGCATAAAGTTCCTCCCAACTGTTTGGTTCCTCATTAAAGAGAGCTTTCCAAAGATTGAAAGCTGTAGATGCCCAATCTTGGTTTGTAGGTGTTGTACCCAAAAATTTGCCCTCTCATTTATCAAGACTTTTCTCACAAGATCTCTTTGACTCAAGACTGGATTAGGGTTTGATCAGCTCAAGACATCTCATCTTAGACTATTGATCCAAAATTAGGGTTTAAGTTTGCATAAGGATTTTTGGATTATCAATGCTTCATATGACTTTCAAGTATCATCATGGACCCCTAAGATTACTCATGTCAAGTTTCAAGCCTTGAATCACATTTTTGACCAATCAATTGGACAGTTGACCTAAAAATCAGCTGTATTGGGGAAAAAGTCAACCATGGCCAATTTACAGTCAAACTTCATAATTTTTGATCCACATAAACATTTTAAACTCATATATATCATTTGATCAAGTTTGGACCACAATTCCTCAAGAAATTTGATCAAATCATCAAAAGGGCAAAATGGTCAAAATTAGGGTTTTGACTGAGAAAGGGCAATTTCTGATTTTTGATCGAACAAATGACCAATTGGTTTGAAG